GGTTTTCTCACTTGAGCCTGCTTTAAATTAACTCAGTATTTCACGTAAAAACATATGGGGCTAGAATATCCTCACTCAGCAATTCCTGAAAGTTTACAAATGATAGAATAAGTGGAGTTTATTTACCCTCTGACAAGCCCCATAGTTTGAAACACGGCAGATTGGTTCACAAGCATAAAAGCAGCTGGGTAAATATTCCCTCTGAAATTATTTTTTTCTGGTTTAATTAATAATTAAAACACTTCCAAATACAGAACTTATGTGGCACTACTTCTTGACAAGCTTGTTGGGAATGGTCCATTAATCATTGACTGTTGTTGAGAGGGCGGTGTGTTGGAAGGAGTGTGGGCTTTGAAATCAAACAGACAGGAGTTTCAGTTCTCCGGGATTTTGAGGAGGTAAGTGAACCCTGAGTCTTAGTTTCCTCATTTGTAAAACTAGGAAAATATAGTATCCAAATTCACTTATGAGGATGAAATGATATATGTAAAACACAATGCAGTGTTGGTACATAGTAAGTAGTAAATAAATTGTTAACAATATCACTTGGGAAAATAATAGAATTATTTGAAAGAAAATGTTAAGTGTATGAAATAAGAAACTAGTATATAAAATATAAAAGTATAAAGTTGGTTATGGAAGGGAGAAAAAAGTGTAAAAAAGAAGTATGTATAGATAGATGATTTTTGAGATGAGAGTCTATGAGTGAAGAGAAAGGATAATTTAATTAGGTTTTCTGAAGCGCAGTGTTTATGAAATTGTTCTCTTTTTTTATGCTTTGTAGGGTTTGGTATCATTTTCACCATCTGGACCTAGAGTTTTCTACGTAGGAAGTTTTGAGTAATACATTCAATTGCTTTGATAGGTATAGAACTATTCACTTTTTAAAAATTCATACTTTCTGTTTCTTCTAATGTCAGCTTTGAAAAGTTGTCATAAGAAATTCATCCTTATTTTTAAGTTGTCATATGTATTTTCATAATAATCTTTTATTCTCATTTTAATGTTTTAACTGTCTGTAGTAATGTTTCCCTTTTTATTCCTGACATTGATGATTCATGGCTTCTCTCTGACTCTTTAGATTGATAAATTGTATTATTATTTTTAAAGATTCACATTTTGGCTTTCTTGATATTTATTGTTTATGTTTTCTACATCATTGATTTCTTATTTTTTCCTCAATTCTACTTATTTTGTATTTCATTTTCTCTTCTTTTTATAACTTTCTGAGTGGGAAACTTTGATTATTGATATTAAGCCTTTATTTTTATCTAATATGAACAGTTATATATTTCCATTTATACACTGTTTTGGTTGTATCCCACAAATTTTAATATGTTCTCTTTTCATTGTTATTCAGTTTTAAATATATTCTAATTTCCATTGTGATTTCCTCATTGACATATGGGTTATTTAGAAAAATGTTGTCTTATTTCCAATATTAGAACTTTTCACTTTCTTTTTGTTATTGATTCTAGCTTAATTCTCTTGTCATAAATATTCTCTAAAATTTCAGATTTTAAAAATTTATTGAGACTAGCTTTATGGTCCAGTATATGGTATGGTATATAATATGATATTCCACTACCAGATGTCTGTAGACAGAAGTCTATAGGTGTCTGATAGACTCTACTGGTGTTTAAAATTATTATTATTATTTTTATTCTTCTTCAAGGCTCAGTTTAAATTATTTTTATTGACTTCTCTTCAATATCACTGATACTTTCTTCTACTTTATCCATTCTAATATTGAGATCATCCATTGATTTTATTTCAGATATTGTACTTTGTAATCCTAAATTTCTTTTTTTAGAGTTTCCATTTTTTCCTGCAGGAATTCTTCTTTATAAAAATGATTTTGTCTATTTTTCGTAAACTATTTTTATATTCATAAAAATTTCAAAGTCCTTGGGTGCTAATTTGAACATGTGAATGATCAGTGAATATGTTTTATTGGCTACTTTTCATCGGATATGGGTCATATTTCCTTGCTTCACTTTTTTTTTTTTTTTTTTTAAATTTCAGAGAGAGAAAGGGAGAGGGAGAGAGATAGAAACATCAATGATGAGAGAGAATCATCGATTGGCTGCCTCCTGCACACTTTTTACTGGGGATCGAGCCCGCAACCCAGGCATGTGTCTTTACTGGGAATTGAACTGTGACCTCCTGGTTCATAGGTCCATGCTCAACTGCTTAGCCAAGCCAGCCAGGCTATCTTTAGAACCCAAAACTATGCTGAATATCTTTAGTAGGATTCATTTAAAATTATGTTTGTCAATGAGTATTCACTGACTCCTTAAATTTAAGGAAATGAAGATCATGATGTTGCAAATAAAAGGATGAGTTTTAAAATATGAAGAATGTGAATAGTTGAAATTTGTTGAATACATATTTTATGATAAGCTTTGGGCTCAGTTCTCTGCATACTTATTTTGTGGAAACATCCACCCTACAAAGTAGAGGTCCACCCATTTGGTGGACAAAGAAAATCGGCTTGCTCAGGGCCAGCTGAGCAGAGCTGAACAGTAACTGGCATATCTGAGACTTGAACCTGTGCCAATCTGATTATAAAACCCATGCTTTTAACTTATAATGCTTATAAGGCTTAATTGTCTGGTTCTCAATCCTGCTTTGTCTCTCACTGACTATCTGTCTTGGAGAAAATCATTTCAACTTTGTGGGTATCAGTTATATCTGTCATGATTGTAGTGAGGGTCAAAATTAAAAAGTTCCTCTGTAGCAGGGTGTTTTAGCTGGTTCATTTAGGTGAGTTTGTGGAGGTGGGGTACACTCTCCCTTGGAAGTCCCCCATATACTATGCAAGTTATTTCTTTTTTATATTGTATTTAGGGAACTTAATTTGTTCATGAAGTTCTGTGCCTTTAAAAGGGACTGTTAAGGGGTGTGGGAACTCTATGACAAAGACTTTGAGCTTTGTCCTTAACTAGGATTCAAGTCCATGCAGATCTGTTGGATAGACTGTAAAGGTGCCCTAGAAGGAAATACAGGCCCCTAAGAGAAAACCACCAAAATGAAGGAATGATGTAGATGGATGGCCAGTCTGTACATGTGAGGAGTGAAGGTTAGGAGGATGTCTGTGCTCAGTCATGACACCAATATCCCTCTTTCTCTCACCCTACCCTGTTCCCAGAAAGCATGTGTGGTCAGGGAGAAACATGCCTGTGCTATAAAGAAAAAGACAATGTCACTCAGGGTCCAAATAGCTCTATAGAGGAAACTCAATCTGAAAAAGCTCACAAAGTGGAAATCTTTTCTTGGGTCAGTGAGGAGGTGAACACCACGGTTTGGAGTCCGGAGCCTCCTGCAGTGAGCAGGGCCTGACTCACTTGTGGTGCAGAGCAATTGATCTACTGAGAAGAAGGGTCCCACAGGCAGGGACTCTGTTAGCATGTGAGACAGTGTGCCTTTCCTCTGCACCCTACTGAGGAACTCTGCTAGAGAGAGTTCTCTCCTAGAACCAATAGCCAGTGATGGTCCAGGCACATCTGCGCCTCTGGAAGATTCTGAGATTGATGAAAAAAGAAAAAATTCAAGAAAAATGTAACTTGTGAATCATTTTGAAATGCTAAAATTTATTAAGATAACTATGATTTGCATTCATTAAGTAGTAGAAAGACATTGGGCCATATCAGTTTTATGTATGAAAACATTTTGCAAACAATAATGTACTATGAAAAGGGTAAATCCACAACACATTATTTCAACAGATAATTTTCCCCTATTTGTCAGGAACTAGGTCACACACAGGCATAGTCTAGTATTGGAGGGATGTGTATACAGATATCTGCGAGTATTGAGACAGGTGCTGAAATAGCAATATGGACTCGGTGGTACAATGGGGCAAGAAGGTGGGGAAGAAGTCAGGAAAATATCTAGAATAGGAAGGAAAGCTGCTTGAAAGAAACAGGTTCCAGATAAGCAGGAGTAAGGTAGGTGAGCTATGCTGAGAAGAGCAATTCAAAGAGAAGGAACAACTCGTGCCAAGATAAAGAGAAGTCAAAAAGTATGGCATCATCAAGGGTATGCAAGGAGCTGGCTGGGTGCAGTACATCTCAAGGTAACTGACACCTAAGGACACACCTGGACATAAAAATAGTGAGAAAAACAGCAGCCAGAATGTGGAAGGTTTTGTGTGTATGTCCTACAAACATTTCTGACAAAATCTTGTTCATGATGAGATGCCACTGGAAGATTCCAAGCAGGGACCTTCCGTGATCAGACGGCATTTCTCGAATTGCTCAGAGGGGAGTGTGGAGAGCCCTGTGCCCAGCAACACAGCAGCAGAGCAGTGTGTCCGCCCCACCTGGAGGACGATAAGCTCCCTGGGGAGACCACCTGCTGCCCAGGGAAGGGTGACACCGTGGGGTCATGATACCCCTCTTAGGGATGCCTTGAAACATATTCCTACAAATGAGCGGTAACTAACAAATTCATTCACAACCAGCACAACTATAAAATGTCTTGGGGGGAAAAAAGCTGCACAAGAACAGCATGAAATCGAGGAATCTTGGGTTGGAAGATACAATATTTAAATATTTTAATACTTACCACAATCAGCCCAAATAAAAATCCTACAGAATTTCTTACAGAAACATGATAAGGAAACTTAAAATTTTAGTGATATAATGAGCAAATTATCTAGGAAAATTTTGAAACATGAGATTACAAAATTGCAATTAAGGTATAATAATTAAAACTTTATGGCAGTTGGGTAAAAATATAACAATAAAAAACTGGAACAGCATAGAGACTATAAGTAGAATTTAGGATATGATATGCTCACTGTGGAATGGATGGATTTTCCAGTAGTAAGTGACAACTTGGTAAAAATAATGAAGTCAGATATCTGCCACATATCATTAATTAAATGAATTCTGATTGGGGTAAAGATGTAACTAATATTTTTATGCAAGTATATGTGTAGGTGTGTGTGCCTATATAAAGAATTAGAAGAAAATATATAGTTTTATGCTTCTTACCTTAAGCTAGAAAGTTTCCTTTCAACAGGGAACAGAGTCCTAGAGAGAAAAAAAATTGGTATAGTTGTCATATCAAAATTAAAAATTTAAAATTCCATACAACCATCAACATAATAAATGAAGTTAAAGATCTGTTATAATATTTAAAATAATCAAAGGATATGTATCCATTATATATTTGCAACAAACGGAAAAAGAACATACCACAAGAAAAGTGAGCAAAGCATATAAACCGGCTTTTCAGAGGACAGGAAATATAAAAGCCCAAGGAACACTTGACATTAACACATTAGCAATCAGGAAAATGCAAATTAAAATAATGAAATACCACTTTTTACCTATCAGGCTAGCAAAAAGTACAACATATGGAGTGTTGTTTGAAGAGGTGGGGTAACTGTTGCTCTTATTTATTGATGATAGGAGTGAAAATTATACGGCACTTTAGAGGACAAATGGCAATAGAAAATACAATTTAAAAAATGCACACAACCCACACCCAGCATTTTCACTTCTAGATATTTACCAGAGAGAAACAATTTCATACATGCACAGGGAAGTATATAAAAGGATATTAGAGGGTTGCTTGCAACCTACTGGTTCACAGATAGAATGGTGGCTAAATTAGTTGTGATATTTTTATACAGTGAAATACAAGGCAGAAGCCTCAAAACACTGAATGGAAAAATCATACCATATTGGTGAGAAAAAAAGGTAGTATCAGAGTGACAGCTACAGAACACCTAAATGTTCGTGTCTCTCAAAATTCACACGTTCAAACCTATCCCCTAAGGCGACGGCATTGGGAAATAAGGCCTTTGGGAGGTGATTAGGTTATGAGAGCCAGAGAGATCCTTCAGCACCTTCTGCCATGTGAAGACACAACGCGAAGTCTGCAACCGGGAAGAGGGCCCTCCCTACAACCTGACCACTCTGGCACCCAGATCTTGGACTTCCAGCCTCCAGACTGTGAGAAATACATTTCTGTTGTTTATATTCCATCAGTCTGTGATATTTTCTTAGGAGGGGTTAGCAGCCTGAATGATCTAAGACAAATATCAGTTATGTAAAAACATAAACACCTAAGTATATTTCAAATATGTACATTTGGAAATGCACAGAAAAGGGTCTCAAGACAATAAAAAAGTCATTTTCTCTGAGGCAAAGCATGTGAATGGGTGGGGTCCTTTAAGAACAACTGCTTTGTTTGTGTTGTTGAATGGGTATAAAATAGTGATTTATAATAAGAAATGGAGGGCATTCCCACCTGATGGTTGCATTTTTTTTTCTGTGAGACATGAAATATAGTCTGTTGACTGCAAATAAATATTATTAGTATGGTGATAAAAGCTTAGAATGGCTTTTTTGTGACCTAAGGCTCCATCAGCGGTTAAAAGCCTTAACTTTGTGGGGCACCAAACCCCAAGTTTTATAATAGTACCCAGCAGCCAGCAGCAAGGAGTGGTGAACTGGGAAAAATGATAGCTGGCTTAATAAAAATTTGGTAGAGAAGATGGAGGGGAGGGTGCTGAGGATGCAAATAAGAAAATGGGAAGGATTTAAATTGCAGGATGAAAAGGTGAAGGGACTGAGAGGTGATGGGGATGTAATGTAAAGCTTAGGAAAGAAATATATCTAACAATATTGTGAGAACTATGTATAGTGCCAGGTGGATACTGGAAATATCAAGGGGAACACTTTGTAAAGTATATGATTGTCTAACCACTATGCTGTACACCTGAAATTAATACAAAATAATTTTGAATGTAAACTGTAATCAAAAAATATATATATATTAAAAAATAAATTATAGGGTGAGGATGATGGATTGAAAAGAAAAAATCAAGTAACTGGAGGTCTTTTGAGGTCCTTTTTTCTACATGGCCTGCTCTTATAATTGGCCCATTTTCTCTTGGTGGTTTAACCTTTTCTAATTGACTTCTGGGGTATTAATCCTTTGTTCTAGGTCTTGTGAATATTCCTGTACCGTGAATTAAAGAGTGAGAAGGTGGAAGGGATGGGAGTTACGGTGAGAGAACCTACAATTCTGGTTGAAATCTCAGCTCAAGAGAATGGGTTGCGAAAAGTGGAATGAGGATGATACTCAGTGACTCCTAGAAAAGCAAGCGGTTTGTGACCTGGGAACTGGGTGACTTGTACATATGAACTCAGACGTCATTCATGAAGACCCTTGGGCCTTCTTGGGGGAGAAGATTGTAAGACAAATGTCAATGTCTTTGATTCATTAGGGGTAGAGGTAGGGGAAGGTGGGGAGAGAATTTGGCAGGTTCTTTGTACCCAGAGGACATGCATCTCAAAGGAGGAGGGGCTTGCATCCAGGTAGAAGTATATTGGCTTGGAAAGGAAAGTAGAAGCCCATGAGGAGGCACAAGCAACTGGCCTTGTATCTCCCTGACATCTGATGGAAAAAGAAACCACTTCCACTTGAAGGTCTGCTATGAAAGTGGTGTCTGCGAGACTCTTAGTCTCTATAGTCGTAATTGTACAGGTGACGCCAGGACCTGGGAAGAGTAAGTGGAACAAGAGTCCTTCAAATGTCACTGGAAAACAATGAATTGTATGAACACCTGTTGAAACTCCATCTCAGGTTCTTTATCTCATGTCTTATCAACATACAATTTTGCTCTATTCAACCAGAATCATCAGTTTTATGTTCATGCAAATACTGCCTCTTCTTTCTCGTGGAAGGTTTTATGAGATTTCAGTCAGGAGGAGAAACATCAGAACTTCTCAGCACACTGCATAATGATACATTTTAACCCCGGGAACAGATTGACAGGATGTTATTTGAATTTTTACTTTACAAAATTTTAGGATCATCCAGCTAAGTGTTTCATTAAGAATGTTTCCTGTTGAGACTCTTCCACGGCTCCATATCGAACCCCAGCCCTTCCTCCAGCTTCTAAAAGCCCGTAGGTCGCACAGCAGTGCTAGGTACAGACACTCGGGCAGTGGGCAAGAGCAGCGTGCTGTCCTGCTTCACGCAGGAGGTGACGAAACAGAAGGAGGCTGATTTCACTCCAGCGTTTTGCTCAATCTGGTTGACACCAGCAGGCTTTCTTCACTGACAAGCTTTCTTCACTGACAAGCTTTCTTTGGAAGTTAAATTAGGTCCAATATGAGAGTAAACCAGAGTTCTTTACATTTATATTTTAACTTATTCATAATATCACTGATGATTTCAGAAAAATAAAACTTTCCCTGTAGTGATATGATTTCAGCATATACTAATCATAAATATGATTTTTTAAGATTGGAGACCACATTTTCTAAGAGTAAGTAATACTAGTATTGTAAAAGCAATCAACAGGAAAATAGGATTTAAAAAAAGAAATTCACATATTTACAGGCAATAGTTTAGTTTGTCTCTGATTCAGCCTTGGGCACTAGCCTTGAGATTTTCTTCAGATAAACTGCCTTTTTTTTTCTCCTTTTAATGGTATCATCATCCTCCCATTGTCTAGGCTTAAAATATTACAGCTATATTTGTCTCCTTCCTTCCGCTAGCTACTTTCATTTAAGCCAACAAATCCTGTGCATTCTATAAGCATTATATCTTTCATATTTTTCTCTTCCTCAGTATTTCCATTTGCATGACCTGAATTTAGATCCTCATTTCCTCTGGTTAAAACCATAGTAATAGCCCCGTGAAGATATAATTGCTTTTATTTTCACTTGTTAAGATTTATTTTAAAAACCATTTTCTATAGATTCAAGTTCAAACTCTCTAATATTCACTTATTCTAAAAACATTCATTGAGGTCCACTATGTGACAGGCACTTTGCCAGGTTCTTGGATTATAGTTATAAATTTTCAACAGGGTCCTTGCTCCCAAGGAGTTTACATTCTAATAGGGAAAGGGAGATCATACTTTTAAAAAGTAGCCAAATTAATGAAAAGCTAATTTTGAAAAGTAACAAGTGCTTTGAAGAGAATGAAACAGTGATGTGAAGATTGACAAGGTAGGACTAGAGGAAGCTAAGAAAACTAAAGCTAAAGCATCCTCAATAGCAAAGACCCTTTCCCAAGCCTTAGGGATCCCAACATTGGGTTCACATGCTCACATTTACCAAAGTAAGATATTTTATCCTACCTGGTCAATACTGCTGTCTCATTACACTCTGATTCTCACGAGGCCCCCCAAAACTACTTATGTTTTGGAGTCAACCCTAGGTAGGGGACTAAGTAGATGTGTTGATAAGAAAGAGCCTTACTGAATGAGAGCACAAAGACAAGAAAGAGCAACCATATGAGGAAATTTTCCAGACAGAGAAAAGAGGGAGGCAAGGCCCTGGGCAGAACTGAGCTTGAACCAGCAGCGTGTCTGAAGCTGAGTCAGTGAGGTGGCGAAGGGTGAGACGTGAGATAGAAAGGCGGCCAATAGCCCGGTCATGTAGGGCTTTGCAGACATTAGAAGGAAGTTGGATTTTATTCCAACTGCAATAGGAAGTCGATGAAAAGTTTTAATGAGTGTCACATAATATAACTTAGCTTTAAAGAAGATGATGCTGGCTTTTATGTGGGAGGAGATCAGAGAGGGGAAGAATCAGAGTAGGGAGATCAGTTAGCTTGCCAAGGCATGAGGTTAGAGCTGCTTGGACTAGGTAATAGCATTGGAGATAGATAGGCAGGATATATTTTCAAGGAAAAGTGAGCAGGAATTCTCCATGTATTTGAAATGGAGATGAAGGAAAGAAAGGAGTCAAAGACTTCCTAGGTTTTTTGACCTAACAAGTAGGTAAACAATGGTACTATTACTAAGAAGATTTTGGGAGGAGGTGGAATCAAAATCTTCTTCATCATGTAGAGGCTGTGATTATGGAGTAGCCATTTGAGTCAGCGTTAGGAGGCAGTTAGATATCAAATTTGGAGGTCAATGGAGAGGCCAAACAAAGATATAGTTTGGAATTATTGGCATAAATGTGTTATTTAATGCCATGAGATTGGGTAAAATCACCCAGAGAGAGTCTATTTACAGTTGAATCCTTTAATCCTTCCACAATCTGTATTATCTCCCAAA